GCTCGTGTTGAGTTCGTGGTCAACTGACGTTCTCCTCTCCCTTCATCAGTCGGCGACGAAATCACCATCCTCGGAAGTTTCAGTGAAACTTACAAGTTCCCTGCTGCCATTGATTACCTTGATTCTGGCAAGATCAAGGTTAACGGAATTGTCAACAAAGTCTTCAAGATCGAGCAATGGGCTGAGTGCTTGGAGTCGATGAGAAACAAGTCTGCCATTAAGGCTGCCATTGTCTTCGATTAAGATACCTTCTCTCATATCTCGATGTTGTTGGTTGGTCATTTTGGAAGTTGTGCTGCGTTGGTACACATCTAGTTTACCTGTATAATGGCAATAGAGAAATAGAAGGCATAATTTTTGTATAAGAGAATGCACGAGCTATTTTATGAGAATAGAGCATGAATATAGAGGAAAGAAGAATAATCAATGTCAAAATGAAAATGAGTGTGCATTAAGAGACGTGTTAACATAAGAATTTTGATCAAGTTGATGACTGGAAAACTTGTGTTGATGTGCGGTGCGGGCCCTTTCCACGTTATATAACATCGCATTTGAGGACCTTGGGGTGTAAATACTTCATATTTAGAAAAAGTATTTTGTACTTCCCACACTAATCAGGTGGGTCAGATTCAGGGAGTTCAATATCACTGAAGTTTATCCCACAAGAATTGAAGATTCAACAGAGTATTAGGTGTTTGTATTCATGTCACACACTTCATCATAATTATAATGACTCTACCTCTTCTTTTGTCAGCCGATCCAATATTTGCTTTCATGAGGAAACAATGCAGAGATAGAAGGAGCATAAGAAGAGAGCACTGAGCCTATAAAACAGCATCATCCACAATACCTAGGAGATATGTGATAAGTTGCTGCGTGAGCATAGATTTTCATGCAGCAAATAATGAAAATACATTTAATCTGAAGCTGAAACACATATGGTTCTGATTAGCAGTGGCAGTCCGTCTCCCTAAAGGTAAAGCTGGAGAGATAAGAAGACAGAAGAGAAAACTAAGTCTAGGGCCATCAGAAGATTTAATGGAGGTCCGGATTACCCCTGGATGCACAATCAAGATAACAAACCCAGGCATCTATCTTTATTTTACTCAGGACGCCGTTTCGAGAATCGGTGTTGGGGTCACAATCCGCAGTCCATCAGCAATTCGAAGATAAACCGTGGGTCCCAATGGTCGGTTGAGAAGCGCTTCTCATTCCTAGCGTCACTTTCACCCTTGTTCCTTTAGTTACATGGAAGCACCGATCAAACGTGATGCGCGCCTGAACCATTGCGTCACGTGTAGTTATGGCATCCAGAACACTCACAGCTTCAAGATATTGGGAGCAGCGTGGAAGGGTCCACCACGACCAAGGGCTCGTTAGAGGACGTAATGACATCAGTCTATTTTGGTAAAACTTCCCATCCGACTTCCAAGAGAATCTTTGGATCACTGGTAGTTGAGGGTAAAAAGAAGCACCATTCGGGTTTGTATTAAGAGGTTGATAAATATATCCAATTTCGTTTAATCTGCTGGACAAGCTGGCAGTTAGTGTCCATTGAGCATCGTGATGATAGATAGGTCGAAGACGAAGTTTGCATAAATGAATATTTCATCGCTATTGCCTTTGGTTAACTCACTGGTAGCAGCCATGAGCTGGCTCGACTGATAATCGTTCGGTGGGCACATGGTAAAGTTTATCGCCCGTTTAAATATCATCTGCGCTAACTCCAACTCCTTCCAAATAATTCACAGAATATACTTGTCTCCTCCCAAAGAGAGGAACCCCCCCTTTTTTTTTTATTTTTTTTTTTTTATTTTATTTTTATTTTTATTTTTTTTTGTATCAGTGGGTTGATCTTACGCCAGATTTCCTTCTTCGAATTGAGGCAGAAAAGAGCCATGCTAGATTACCGTTAGTCATTAGCCGTGGACAAGGATATTTTTCAAGTTGTTAATCGCAAACATACATTATTTTAGAAGCGTAAGGGTCATGATCTTTTTATCTAGAAATTGCGGAGTCAACCCTCCAGGTGTCATGGCCAAATGCCTCTTATTGGAGCGATCTTACATTTGCTATATACCCAGCGAGGTGTATCCATTTGAAGGTCTCTCGAGGCTCTGGCTTTGCTCGGCTGCTCGACCAATAGAAAGCGGGGGAGTGTGGTTACAATAAGGTTGTCAGCCGCAATTGATACCATCCGAGCTTCGAAGCTTGGCGGTGCCTTTCAAGCCAAAATAGGTTAGTGCCAGGCTGACTTAACCTGAGTTTTTAAATTTACCTTATCAACCTGAGCCGTTTGATCGAACCTGTCCCTCATATTTCTTGAAGAATCGTACCAAGGGGAAAGAAATCAGCAAACTAATGAAACGATGGTTAAACCACTGACATTTAAAGGTGATAAAAAACCCAAAAAGCGCAAGCGTCAACAGACCGATTCCGATCCTTTTGAGTCTCCTTCCCGAAAGCCTGATAGCCAGAGCGCTCTCAAAGGTATTCCCGATGATGTCTCAGCTGCCGACGAGGACCAGAATTGGGTTTCTGCAGACACACCAATGGATATTTTAGGTCCAGTCGTGATTGTTTTGCCGTCTAGCCCTCCAACGTGCATCGCGTGCGATGGTAATGGAAAGGTTTTTGCTCATGAGATAGAAAATATGATTGAAGGCGATCCGGGAACGGCAGAGCCGCATGATGTGAGACAAGTGTGGGTTGCTACTAGGGTAGCGGGTACGGAGGGAATTAATTTCAAAGGACATCATGGGCGGTGGGTTCCTGTCAATATTTTTCTTTTCTTTTCCTTTCCTCCCCCCCCCAAAATGTCCGATTCATGGTGTCAAACATTAGCAGTGCAACGAATGTCGCTAACCACCAGATACTTTTGACAGATATCTAAGCTGTGACAAATACGGAATTCTAAGCGCAAATACCCCCGCCGTATCCGCATATGAATCCTTTATTCCGATACCCTCACCAGACCTACCTGGTACAATTTCCTTCCAGGTGGCCGGCGGCGACAAGGAGGCATTCATCTCCATAAAGGAACCCCGAGGAAGCTCTGCATCTATAACAACGTCAGCGATCGAGGTGCGTGGCGATGCCTCAAGCATCTCGTTTAACACAACCTGCCGTGTCCGCATGCAGGCACGTTTTAAACCTAAATTGAAAGCGTCCAAGGAGTCTAAGGCCCTGGAGAAAATCAGTCGCAAAGAATTGGAAGCTGCCGTGGGGAGGAAATTGGAAGATCACGAGGTGAAGAGGCTGAAAAAGGCGCGAAAGGAAGGGTCTTACCATGAGGAGATATTGAACGTTAGGGTTAAGGGGAAACATGACAAGTTTGCTTCATGAGGGACTTCACCATCCAGTAGCCTTTTTGGACTAACATGTGATACCAAGAATGGACAATTGAGTCGGCCGCGTTCTTGCTGTATCGGTTTCTTATAGAGTTATGGCACCCGTGAGGCAATACCATGATGAACACCATCAGTTTTTGAAGGACGGTGTGCATTTGCACCAGGACGAGACCGGAACGCATATATGAATGTGCTATGTCCCTCAAACCGAATGCTCCAGCTTTTAGCCATACCTCTCCGTTTCGACTACGTCTCGCCATATATATTTGCTAGGAACTCACAGGCTTGGCTTAGGACAACAGGGCAAAATATTGATCCGCGGTTCTTAAGGTCAAGGTGACAAGGTGGATATTATTTGAAAATGGCATCTCAACATATGCTAGCCCAGAGATACGATTTGTTTCTGCACCGCGCATGATGCACTTATTGCAAGAGGGCTTCTCAAAGCCACTTATAAAAGGGGCCGCCAACTTCCTGCACATCGGATTGGAATGCGCGCTGGATACTGAGCAAGTCTATGTGCTTCAAAATTGCAATGCCCTCCCCCTTCGCTAATTCCACTTAAACGCATGTACAGATTTGTATTTTAAAGGTGGTGTCAGCTCGTTCCAATAGATATTTACACAGCAAAAATTAGCAAACCTATTTGAGAAATGCAAGGTAACTTGATGATATTTATTTAAAACTTCTAAAAATGTAGTGCTTTGGTAGAGAAACTCATAATCAGATATCCCACATTTCCATCAGTACCCACGAACTCTACTCATTATCTTCTAGAACATTCAAAGACCATTCCGCACCTCCCTCGAGACAAATATTGTAATTAAGACATTCCTCTCTCCCGGAATTTCCCACATGGAAAGAAGGTGGACAGAGAAGAATATGTTTAGCAATGAGAATATAATTTGGGAACAGTGAAGAAGAGGTTTGGGAGATTGAAACAGAACATCCATCTTACCACCAGGGAATTTCCGCATCCACGAAAGTTTAGGAAAAGGGTATCAGCCGCGAGGAAAGAATAAATAAAAAAAAAAAAAAAAAAAAAAAGTTTAGAAGTAGGAAAGGGTAATTGAGTAAGAAATTGAATGCGTTCAACCTCCCCCTGAGTCGATTCAGCTGATTAACGCCTGTGGTGAGAACCGGCTCCGCGGAAGAGCAAAATATTGTGTAGAAATGACTTGAGCATGAGGCGAAAAAAGCATATATATGAATATACGACATTGCGAAAGATTTTGGGTTAATCGATAGAACAACCATCGTCAAAGATTAGATAAGTATGGCGGGTATGGTTTGTTCAAAATTTCATAGGATATGTTTATATATCCGAAAATAAATAGCATGGTGAGCTAGGCATGGGTCAGTGAGAAATAGCGTATAAATATCTAGCCTACCGTATTGCCGGGAATACTTTATAGAGAACTTTAAGCCCTATAGAAACAGATATTTTAGCACGAACAACAGTGCCGCGGCCGGACGCAATATTATAATAAGAGGATATGTGACATGGATTAGGATGTTTGGAGCTGGCGTACATGACGACTGAGGCAAGTGTCGCGCCCTCTCGCCGTCTGCAACCATGGGATGACCACCTAACATCTCCATAGCCCTTACACGCGTTTCTTTGCCGCTGCCTCGAGGGTCTAGAATTATCTAGGTGGTTGTAGATGGAGGCGTAACTGTGGCTTGGGCGGCATTTCTCGACTGCCGTAGCATATCTGTAACTGGATGGCGGAAACCGCTGCGTCGTTCATTGGCTCTCAGTTGGGGTAATAGGCTGAGAATCGTCATGACCCACCCTGTGTTGCGATTTTGGACCTCTCGAAGCTGGCGAGCAAGCCGCTCCTGGCGAACCATGACATGGGTTATTTTCTCGGGGCAATATCCACGGGGAAGAACACTTTTCTTGCAAACTGGGCAGAGACTGCTGTTCTGTAAGAGGAAATTGTCGATACATTCTGGGTGGAATAAATGCTGACATGGAAGTTGGCGGACTGTGGTTTCGCCGCTAACATAGTCATCGAGGCAGATAGAACAGGTGGTTTGTGAGAACGCTAGCTGATTGTGGCCTCGCTGGTTGGTACCAAAAACCGTGGTTTGTGATTTTAGTGAAGGGGTGGGCATTGGTAGAGACTGCAATTTCTGTGTAAAGAGAGCCTGCGATGCACTTGATATGCACTTCGAAGGTGATACCAGCTGAAGAAAATGTCTCTTCTGATCCACGGGGCCTTTATGACATTCTTCAGAAGGATGATTTGGCATTACTTCTGCCGGTGGAGGTGGCGTCAGAAATTCATTTTTTCCCGATTCGTGATGTATGTAGAGTGGCATTTTATCCAAAATGGTTCGAGGGACATTTAGTCGCCGAATACCCAATATCTCTAGATCAACTTCTCCTGCTGCGACTCTCCTTTCCAGAGCGCTGCGTCGGTGGATTTGAACTAGCCGCACGGCAATGGATAAGGAAAGGACAATACCAATCAGAATCCCTAGCACAGCTAAAAGGAAAACCCAGATGCTTGGGAGGCTGCTACCATTGCTCCCTAGACGTATATATCAGTTTCAGGTGTTCAAAAGAACTCCACGGACATGAAGAAAGCGTATTACTTAGGCCAATTTTTGAATACATCCGAATAAGTTCATCGTCGTCAAATGTCCTCGCCAAGTCTCTTCCATGTGGAACCTCAGCCAAATCCCCAGAATACTCGCTCAATGCACGCATCAACGTCGTACCATATTCACCGGGGATCGCGTAGACAGGGAATTTATTTGCAGCTTTCCACTTGCCGCCATCATTTAGATCCCAAAGCGGATCGTCCATTGGAGGAGGTGTGTCAGTCGATGCATCTGGTCGATAAAAAATGGACGCAAGTGAGGAACTTCGTGACTGTGCTGCTAAGAAAGATAAAGTACACGTGGGAGAGACCCAAGGAGCAATCGATATTAATATATTTACATTTGGAAGATTGGATTTTCGAGTTGCATTTGCTGGTATAAAAGGGGCTGTCATCTGTTTACACGGATCTTCGGGATCGAGGTCCGCTACATAGAGCAAGCCTCGGATATCAAAATCATCCCCTGCATTTGTCGTTGACAGCGTTCGGATCCTACCGCCAATCCTGAGTTCAAAGGAGATGCTGGCCTGTATTTGTGTTTTACAGCTTTCGTTAGTGTCCAGCTTTAGAGGTTAGACGAGGGTCGACATATTCCTCCTCACATCTAGTTGTACTGGAGTTGCTAACTGTGATCTTTCTGATGAGGGGATAGCGAAGACCACAGTGTCAAGAGTATTTGCAGCTAATAATATATCAGCCAAGGATGTATCATATCACTTTCTTCAAATCTTGCAATTTGCTTTGGAGATATCTCTACAAGTTTTCCGAAGGTAGTCGTGCCCTGGGTCCAAGGGTGAAATACTTACTCATCTTTTGACAAGAATCCCGTAAGGCTCTAGTGACAATAAAAACGCTTATTAGGGTATATAACTGGAGAGCTGGAATTAGAACAAGTATATCGAGCAGTTACGTAGTAGTGTGGTCAAAAATCGCAATGCGGCGGGAGACTTTTGCCTTTTGCCGCTCACAGTGAAAAATGCATATAACGATCGGCCAGCGTCACCAATAGACATAGATTATTTATCTCATCTAACAGTGAAGCAGAGAAATCGGCGAAGCCTTCTTTGCAGTCCTTGTCCTTTCGAGGGGGGAGTGGGTATCGGGATAGCGACATCCCAGCAGCTTATCTAGATACTCGCACTGAGACGCCTTTTTGGGGTCTTCGGGCGGTGCGGGCGAGAAGTGTTTTGTTTGAGGTTGCCAGGGTGCGCTTGTTCAAAGCATGGAGTGGATTGTCTTCAACATCATGAAGCTATTGGCATTTGTTCGCGGGAGTTGTTGTCGTTGTAGTTACATGCAGTGTTTCTTCAAGTAGTCAGCTGCTCCCTTGCCTCGCACCTTAGTTAAGTCACTAATCCACAATCCCACTTAAGGTCGCATAGACATCTCGTATCTGACGTCTCTCAGAGTAGACCTGGACCCAGACTCTTGCTCTTGTCAATTTTGACATGGAGTGGTTTTGTTTTTCTTGGAACAAGATTCCCCGCTTTGGGAACATATACAACATATAACTACCCTGATATGTTTTTCTTGCTCTCCGGAACCGAGAAATGGATGTGAAAAACTTCCAAACACTTTTCTGTAGTTCCCCAAGCCAGCAAAATTGCCTACTTTGGCACGTAACCTATTCCATAGCTCTCCTGAGGTCAACTGAGTATGGAATCGTTGTTCTAAAACTAATTTCGAGGTTTTCCTAAGTCTCATGCTGTGACTGGGGACCCTATCCAGGGCTGTCGATGGGGCTCCGCGGCATTGGAATATATGTACTGTGCAAGTTGTGATTATGATTTATTCAAAAGGTTAATAGGGCCTCTTTAAGGGTGTTGTTGCAAACACTATTGCCAATCATTTGGCTCAGACTAGCCTCTGAGTTGCCCGCAACCGATATTCTCTCGTCGAGAAGCGCCTGATACCGGGGTTGTGCTTGAAATTTCATGGGTTCCTATCCCAAGAGGTCCCATTTAGTTGACAAAATATCAGTTAGCTTAACCCCACAGGTTAGTTTGTGTTTCAGTCGCGATAAGGTAGCCATCAAGCTACATAAGTAGGGCACACTTTGGCTGTCCTTTGGTAATCGCACAAACTGTTAACAGACCAACCACCCTCACTATGACGTTGGGAAGGTGGAACTCATCCTTGCAAATAATAGTGGTCCATGCAACCACAAGGGTAAGTTCAAATTTTAGGACAGCGCCACAATTTGTGATAGTTAGATAGCAGGTATATAGACTACTTCTTCCTGCAAGTCTCCCGTGGGCAAGGTGGGGCACCTCGGATTCCGCCTCTTCTAGAAACACATTCACACGGTATTTGCTGTGGAAGGGGCCGGCCAAGGGAGAAAGGATAGAACTGCAGAGGCACAACAGATGTGCCCCCTTGTTAAGCCTGACTCGAACAAACATCCAATGTTCAAATGGGAGACAGTTTTGAGGTGAATTGTCCTCTCATCATTCCAACTCTCCTAGCCCATAGGTAGCTTCTTAATCGAACGTGATCAGATGATTATATCCCACAGCGCAAGAAGCTAAGCTCCTTCACACAATAAATACCATACAAAAACCTGATTTGACAAGACATTCAGAAGTTACTAGTGGTTAGTTTCTTCTCGACACACGTAGTTCCTAGAACTTACATTACCCTCTCTGGGTCTAGCTTAGCGCACTCGAAGCGTGCAAACTCTGGAGATGAAGGCCAGAAGACGCCAAAACACCAAACTATTCTCTATCTCAAACCTGGGAGGGTGTAACTCACAACTTTCAGCTGGGGTTAAAGAGTCCAACCACCCGTGGAGCTGCGTCCAAAGGTTGTTGGGGAAGAACTTTTTCCGATAGCCAAGCGCTAAACCAGATACGGGCTAGTAGAATACTTTCTGCTTGGCGCCAAGCAGATCCAGCCTCCGTGGTAAGTCACGTGATACAAATGACCTCAGTTCGCGAGCTAACTTTATTCGAACGGCGAAAATTGAGGGCCCCGAGAGCATCGCGAAAACATGCGCGACCAACCAGCTAAAGAGACATCGTCGAGATATTCCAATTGGAGAAAGCTGTGGAATTTGCTCGCGAATCAACTCTGCCAATTCTTTGTGAGCTCTAACCCTGGGACTGTCTGTATCTGTCTAAGAGACCATCGAGAGACGCTCTGTGGACAATTCGATTCGCAAACTGACTTTCTCGGGGCATCTCATCAAGGCGGGGTAGAATAGCCCATCGTTGCAGCAACAAGTTTGAGAGCGTCACATACCCTCCGTCCTTGTCTAGAAGACGTGCTGCCATTTTCAGTCTCTGAACTGTGAAATCAAACCTCCATGAGGTATCGGCCAACATGCCTCCGCCGCTCGCAAACAAAAGCAAAGGAAAGGGCCGCGAGGTCAGACGATCTCGCAGTCGCAATACCACTCCAAGCTCTGTCAGCACTAGCACCGTAACCGGTATTGGTTATCTAGACAATGACATCTCAAAAATTCTAGTTTCAACCTCCGTGCAGTATTCCGACATTCTCGACAAGCTGGGCGGAAGTGGTCAGATCCCCGAGCCAAAGGCTCTGGAGTCGTTGGTTGAACACCTCAAAACTCTGAGCCAGTTGGCCGAAGTCAGAAGTGATGCATGTAATGCGGGAATACGGGAACTATCGCAGAAACGCAAGGAGGCATTTGAAGAACTGAGGGAACGCGAACAATTAGACCGTGATGCAGAAGAACGATTGAGAATGAAGAGAGAAGCAGACGATGATGAGGACATGGGGCGGGCTTCAAAGGGAGGTAAATTGAAAAAGAGAAAGGATAGAGGGGCTGCCAAAGAGGAGAGACCCTTATCACATGGAGCTCATGCTGTAGCCAGGCAGGATGGAGCAGATATGAAGTCAGACAGTAAGTCCATATTTCCTTGTCTTAGCTGCAGCCATTCTGTATTTCACTTAACTTCGTTTTGGTGTTAATAGGATCTAATCTGTCTCTTTGCATTCACACTCCTCAAATCTGTGCCTATTTTTTCCGTCCAGCTTTTGTTTTGCTATTTGGATCTAACCTAGCATATAGTCCCTCATCGTCGCAGTGGGAAAGATGCAACCAGAACAGCTTCGCCTCCATCGAAAAAATCAAAAATTATCGTGTCAAGCACTTCTTCTCTCTCGCCAACACCATCTCCAACCGCCACCGGCGCCGGAGATCAGCTCTCGGCTGCAGGTTCGCCTGACTCGATGGATAGTTCTGATTCCCATCAGCCCGAACCTGCGCCCTCTGTTCAGCAGTACCAAGTTTTTGGCCCTGATCCGCTTACGTTTGATGATCCCACCATTTATCATATCCGAGATGTTACCGTTGACATGACAGACGAGGAGAAGAAGGAAATATATTGTGTCGCACAGTTTCCAAAGAGCGATCTTAGCCATTTGATGACAGGAACCCCTCCAGACAAAGATTTCAGTACCTCAAAACCAACCAACCAAGTCAGCGCCAATACGTTTGCTACCTATATTGAGCCGTATGTTCGTCCTCTCACGGAAGAGGACATTGCATTTCTCAAAGAGAGAGTAAGTTGATTGTCAACGTTTATTATAGGAATTTTTCTGTGATAATCCACTAAGTTTCGAAAATTAGGGCGACCGCACAACTCCTTTCCTTATGCCACGCCGAGGCAAGAAACACTATACTGAAATTTGGGCTGAGGAGGATGGGTCAATCAATGTTGATTCGTCGAATCAAGAACGAGAACAGTTACCTCTGAATCAAGGTCGCGGCAGTATCGACCAAGTGACGGATGAAACCGCAGAAACTCAACAAATATCTGCGCCGCCCTTAGTCAGCCGCCTGTACTCTCTGTTGCGCTTCGAACATCGTACACTTCCAGTTGAAAGTGCTGCTGGATCTACTTCTAATAATGAGGATACTAACGTGAATGGCACCATGAATGGGGATGCAATGGATTTAGACAATCTGCTTGGGGTAGAAACTGAGGCGGTCAAACCATTGAACTCTGCCACCACTTTTACTGATGCTTCCCCGAACGGTTTCAAAGTACCCGCCGCTAAGCTTGAACACGGACAGCTCGACGAGAGACTGAAAGCCGAGCTTCGATACGTTGGGCTTTTCGGACAGAATGATAACCCAGACTACGACGCGCACTATGACGATGATATCGCGGAACGTTTACGTCTCCTGCAAGCAGAGCTAAAGAAGCAAATGATCATCAACGGGTCCCGCAAAGCACGTCTCCTAGAGATCGCCCGTGAACGCCTTGCATACCAAGAATACAGCACGATCCACGACGACTTGGATTCACAGGTGCAGCAGGCATATCTCAAACGCACGCGCACGCTTGGCAAGAGCAAGAAAGGCTCGCAGGCTAAACATAGACCTGGCGGAGCTGGTGGCGGAAGCCATCTTGTCGCATCCAGTGCTTCGGGGATTGGCGTAAGCAGACCTGGCATTGGCGATGTGGCACGCACGCTGATGGATCGCCGGAAGCGGTGGGCTGATTGCATTGGGCCTGTGTTTAAGGATTGTAAAACGACAGTGCCAGGGAAGGATGAGAGTATCTTTGACCCAGTGGTGATGGAGGAGTATGAAAAAGCGGAGGTGGAGGGTTGGGATGAGGAGCAAGAGTAGGCGGAAAAGATTTCCTTATTTTTACTTCTTAACAGCGATATGTACAACTTATCTTTTTTCTTTTCTCGTCTGGGATGGGATTGCGGTATGGATCTGCTGGATTGGGTAGGATTTTCACTTTTCATGGCGTCTGGTATCATTATCATGTTCTTTGTAGTCTTATGCCAGCGGTTGGCGTCTACAGGCAAGTTTTGGGATGGGCTTACTGGGACCTGGGCTTTGTTAGCAAAGGAAGGACTCGATCTTCGGTGTGCAAAGTGATGGCGTTTCAAAGATTATCCGCATTTTAATACAAGATCTCTTGAGTCTTGTTCGTTTTCTATTTCCACACGCCTCACGTTTTATGTGCTCCGAAATGTGACATTCGATTTCCCGACCTTCCGCCAACCCAAGTTGAGAATTTCCAGGAATTGGAAGGCTGGTGGCAAATATCCCGTCTAGAATTCATGTGTAAGAACAGCGGTTTCCTATCTTGTATCAACTAGCATGAAATCGTGCATCCGACCGGGTGTAACGAATATATACTCTCCCGCATGGTAACGGGGGGAAAACAAGGATCAGCTACTAGAACTTGGAACTTCAGTTGCTACCCTAGCGATCAATAATTTGTACCTCATACGGATACCTCTTCAGCCGATTCGTAAGTTCCTTCTCACTAATTTCCAGCTCTGTGCATATTTGATCAAAGCAGTGCGCTCCATCGAGATATTTCCTCAATGTCCTATCATCAATCACAACCTCCTCATCGTCCTCCAAATCATACCCATCTTCCCTGTCATCCTCAACGGCGATGTCGTTATCGCCATACGAGCCACGCGATACAATCATCGTACTAACATAGTCGTTCCCGGATCGTGAACCTATTGACCGATGACTCCGGGTAGATAAGCGACGTCCTCCTACTCCCGCTATATCCGCACCACTGCCTGTAAAAGACCCATTCCTAGTACTTCGTGAAAGGGAGGATGATGGCGACGAGGACGGAAGTCCCTGACGACTTTGTCTGGCTGGCCGTGCAGGGTATTTCGTTGCGTATGCATATTTATGCACACGGTACAAAAACCCCTTTATCACACCAAATGTAATGAAGCGTCTCAGATCTATGTAGGCGAGCTCGTGCATGTGTTCGATGTACCATTGCTTTACAGTCTTGCCCTGCCTGAGACTAGCGTAAAGCTCGACCAGCCCGACTCCGTCAACGATGCTGCTGTATTGGTTGGCACCCATGATCCCAGATTTGCCGGTAAGTGGCCATATTTCATCATAATCTAGGTGTTCGTCATTTTGGGCTTTCGAACTGCATCTGGGGCCAGATGATAGGGAAGATGGCGTGAAGGGTGTCAATATTGGTGGTGCTGTTACACTTTGGGTGCGTGCGAAACGTGTGTTTACATATTGTGCGCATTCGCGTTGCATTTCTTCATCCACTGCGATAGTTGAACCGAACTGTGCTGTTGGCGCATATATCGCATTGAAGGAGAAGATGTCTAGGAGGAATATGCACCCGTAATAAAGGAGGTGTCGGATTGCACTGCATGTTAAGGAGAAGTCTGCGTCTGCAAGTGTGGCAATTATACGAATGCTGTTGACGCCGTTGATGAAAGGTACGATCTGACAATTAGAAGTAAGAATTATTTATCCGCCTAAGAATCATGATTTGAGCTCACGACTGATTGCCGCGAGAGAACTCACTCTCTGCATGGTTAGATCCCAGCTCTCATCCACGAAAGCTTCGTAACGAACAGTAAAGAGTGGCACTTGCCACGCCTTCACCTTTGGTGGTGAGGGATAGAGAGGAAATAATTTGATATTCAAAGTGTTGAGTTCATCTGGGGAGGGCACTCAGTCACTGGCCGGATAGGAAGGTTATAGAACAACCCAGAAAAACAATTGGAAGGAATATTTTTAAGGAAAGAGAATACCATACCAATTGGGATCATGCATTCGCAGTAATTATTCAAATCCTCCATCAACGTCTCACAGAGACTGTAAACTTTTCCCTCCTCACCTTTTGAGAAATCTCTCGACAAAAACCCAGACTGTTCTTCCAGACCGCACATCAAATGCGCCAGCTTCTGCACTACGCTTTTGAAACTGCCAAATTGCTCATCTTCAGTCAGCACAATGCAGAAATTGAATATAAACTCATTTCGGTCGTAACGCGGTGATGTCATGCAGACTGGGTATCCGAGGATGCGATATCCGCCCGAGCAGACGTGAATCAGGTTGCCGCATAGCTCCTGTCGTGGAATCACGAAGAAGGATATGTCGGAGAAAGAAATCAGTGGAGGCTGATTCGGAGGCGCTGTTGGGGATGGTACGATGGCTCCATCGGGGACCTGATGAACTACTTTTGGGCCTGCGTACAGGGGTGGAAATGGCTATTAGTTTTATAATGACCAAGTGTAAACAGTTGGCGCCTAAATGTAACTTATACGACCGATATCTTACCTTCCTGGGTGTCAAACTTGCTGTAAAATATTGCTTGGATCATTTTGCTAAAGGAGATTGTATAGCATTGATAACTATACCAGTTGCGGAAATCCCTCTTGCGTCATGATGTGGTCTTCCTCAGTAGATGACCAAAGATTACACAATAGTTCAGCTTGCCCATGATAGACAAGTTATCTGACATTGTGTTTTGTCAAGCAGGTATAGCTATGAACAGTA